TGATGCTGCTTGGCCTGCTGTGTTCATCCAGCTCTACACCTTGTTATGTCAGATTCTCCAGCATCGGCAGTTCCTACTATCACAGTATTCCATTTGTGGTCTAACCAATGTTTTATAAAGCTGCAACAAGACTTCTCTGCTTCCACGTTCAATGTCCCAGTTAATGAAGACAAGCATCTGTATGCCTTCTTCACCAACCTGTCCACCTATACTGACACCTTCAAGGCTCTATGGACTTGTGCACCAAGAACCCTTTGTTCCGCAGTACTCTTTGGGGACCTACCATGCATTGTGTAACTGCTTCCCTTATTAGACCTCTCAAAATGCATTGGGAGAGATGATGAAAAAACAAGGTTTTGTCAAAAAGACCTTGGTCTGTCCACAGGCTTTTTGCAGCAGCAATCAAGCCTCGGAGCAGCCCATTATATCACACCCACCAACAAAACAAATATGCAAGCATTTAAATGGACTTCGTAGTTGTCAGAAATCAGCCCCAGCTCTATGGCAGCCAATTCTGCCTTGGAGCTTACAATCCCTAAATTCCATCTCATAACCTCACTGGGTATCATGATCCACATGTTGGGGAAACTGCTATAGTAATGTATAAAACTGATGGCAAATGCCAGTTCTGGTAGATATTGAAGTGCTAATAATTGACGAAGAGCATAGTATGTTGGCCAACATTCTTTCCTGTGCCAATATTGTCATTTGATCCATTGTTATCACTTGTGAGATTTTGTTGTATGTAATAGTCAGATATCTATACTTTAAATATAGCAGCACTCAAAATAATTCATTTTATTTGGAGTAGTGAGCATGTGTGAAGAATGGAACACAGTATTTATGAATTCAAGTCAACACGTTGTGGAGCTGGAGGAATACAGCAGGTCAGGTAGCACCAGAGGAGCAGGAAAGTCGATGTTTTGTGTCGGGACCCTTCAACTGAACTGGGGAGAGAGGAGCTGGGAAACAAATAGACGGAGGAGGGGTGAGGCTGGGGCAAGGTAGGTGGGATGGTGATTGGTAGAGGCAGGTAGGGGATAGTAGGGACTGGTCAGTGGGAAGGGTGGGGAAAATAGGTGGGGAAGAAGATGGACAGGTTGTGTCAGGTCAAGGAGGCAGGGATGAGAGGGAGGGTTGGGGAGATTTTAACACTGGTCAGTTCTGTGTTCAGACCATTGGGCTGTAGACTCCCGAGACGAAATATGAGGTGTTGCTCCTCCAGTTTGCATGTAGTGTTATTGTGGCACTGGAGGAGGCCACTGGTTGAACATGTCATCAAGGGAGTGGGAGGGGAAGTTAAAATGGTTAGCGACCAGAAAGTGTTGTTGATTATAGTGTACAGAGTGCAAATGCTCCACAAATTAGTCCTTGATAGGCTGAATAGCCTATTTCCATACTCCCTTCTTATGGGAGACTCCTGTCAAGGAATTTCCATCCCAGACATGACTTAAAGGTAAGTGGGCATTTTTAGTCTGATCAGGGTTAGAAATAAGGCTTCTGTCCCGGATTGGAAGTTCTTGGTTATAAGCTAATTTCTGTGTCAGATGTGATACCTGAGTTGCAAATTGACTTGCAAATGAATTTCCCAAAAATCAGCAATCCCTCTGATCTTCAGCAATCACTACCATCACGCATCTTTCCTTTTGATCTCTCTCTCTAGTCCTCTTCTGAAGCTCTCATCCAACCCTTTAATCTGTCCCCCAACATTTGGGTAAACCTGCTCTTCCAGGTTTCCTGAACAAAGGTCTTCTCCACATGTCAGTGCTGGAAATTCTGTCCAGTAAGTAGCAGGACCATTTCCTGTGATCTTCCCAGTGTATAGTTAGAGAATATTTTTGTAGATCCAGACCACCCAACCACCACCTGATTAGAGACACAATCAGAAACCATCTGATATTAGTCATCAACATTTTCTCCATAGAGGAAAGGAATAAATTGATCCAAGCTATCGTCATATTATTGTCCTTTATAGTTCTACCTAATTGGCATTTTGACATGATGCATCCTTTGGTTATGACGAAGATGTAAACAATACTATGGTACGATCTTGTACACTAAGGAAACAGTCTGCTTGAAATCCATATCTACGGCTCAATACAACTTTCAGCCACAGGACCCCAAAACACACACATGGTGCCCAATCCATGAGAAGAATACATTTTCAAGAACAACTTGCAAGTTTTGAGAGTTTGTAGAAGATGTACCATGCATGATGAAGCTGCTATGTTATGTATTTGTATTAGAAACTGCAGACATCTGGATTTAAGCTCTGAGCCTTGTTACACGTTCTTCTGCATTCTGATTGCTTACTTGTATGTTTTGGTTAACCATTCATGTTACATGACACAACCACTGACCTGTTATAGCATTTTTGGTAGCCTAAGCCACATGTAAGGAAAGCCAGGGAACTATAGACTGGTGAGCTTAATGTCAGTGGTGGGTAAGTTGTTGGAGGGTATTCTGAGGGACAAGTTTTACATGCATTTGGAAAGGCAAGAACTGTTTAGGAATGATCAACATGGCTATATGTATGGCAAATTGTGCCTCTCTAGCTTGATTTAGTTTTTTGAAGAGTTGACAGAGAGGATTGATGAGGCCAGAGCGATTAGATATTGTCTATATGTACTTCAGCAAGACGTTTGACAAGGTTCCACATGGTAGCCTGGTTAGTAAGGTTAGGTCACATGGAATCCAGAGGGACCTAGCCAATTGGATGCAAAATTGGCTTGAAGGTAGGAGACAGAGGCGGTGGTGGAGTGTTGCTTTTCAGACTGGAGGCCTGTGACTAGCAGTATGTCACAAGGATTGGTGCTGGGTCTCCTGCTCTTGATCATTTACGTAAATGATTTGGATATGAATATAGGAGATATGATTAATAAGTTTGCAGTTGACACCAAAATAGGTGGTGTCGTGGACAGTGAAGAAGATTATCTCAGAGTACAACGTGACCTTGACAGATGGGCTGAGCAGTGACAGTGTTTTATTTAGATAAATGTGAGGTGTTGTATTTCATAAGGCAAGCCAGGGCAGGACTTATACTGTTAATGGTAGGCCCCTAGGGAATGCTGCCGAACAAAGAGACCAAGGGGTGCAGGTGCATAGCTTTTTGAAAGTGGAGTTACAGGTAGACAGGGTGGTGAAGAAGGCTTTTGGCATGCCTTCATTGGTCAGAACATTAGGTGTAGGAGTTGGGATGTCACGTTGCAGCTGTACAGGACATTGGTGATGCCAATTTTAGAATACTGTGGACAGTCCTGGTTTCACTTCTATAGGAAATATGTTGTTACATTTGAGAGGGTGCAGAAAAGATTTACAAGGATGTTGCCGGAACTGGAGGGTTTGAGTTACAGGGAGAGGCTGAATAGGAGTGTCGGAGGCTGAGGAATGATATAAAAATTTATCAGATCATGAGGGGCATGGATAAGGTGAAAAGCTAAGGCCTTTATCCTAAAGTAGGGAAGTCCAAAATTAGAAGGCATAGGTTGAAGGTGAGGAGGGTAAGGATTTAAAAGGGACCTGAGGGGTAACTTTCACACAGAGGGTGGTGTGTGTATGGAATGAGCTGCCAGAGGAAGTGGTGGT